GCTCCCAGGGAGCTCTAACATACTCGAACATGCCATGTTAGAGCTCCCAGGGAGTTCTAACATACTGGAACATGCTATGTTAGAGCTCCGTTGACACACCATGTTAGAGCTCCCACGGAGCTCTAAGGGAGCTCCCACGGAGCTCTAACATGATATGGTAAAGCTCGGTTGGAGCTCGGTATGTTAGAGCTTCCAGGGAGCTCTAACATGGGAGCTCTAACATAGCATGTTCGAGCTCACAGGGAGCTCTAACATACTCGAACATGCTATGTTAGAGCTCCGTTGGAGCTCTAGCAAGCCATGTTAGATCTCCCAGGGAGCTCTAACATACTGGAACATGCTAAGTTAGAGCTCCGTTGGAGCTCTAACATACCATGTTAGAGCTCCCACGGAGCTCTAACATACCATGTAGAGCTCCCAGGGAGCTCTAACATACTCGAACATGCTATGTTAGAGCTCCGTTGGAGCTCTAACAAGCCATGTTAGAGCTCCCTGGGGAGCTCTAACAATGGTGATTCACGTGCAATGTTAGAGCTCCATTGGAGCTCTGACGTAGCATCTTAGAGCTCCCTGGGATCTCGAATTTGTGACACGGTTAAGTTAAGCCCCCCCCCCCCCTGGCGAGAGGGGGGGGGGGTCTTAACCGTTGCGCAATCGATTGGGGGTGGTTAAGGGGCGGCGGCGGCGGCGGCGGCGGCGGCGGCGGCGGGCTAGAGCTCCCAGGAGCTCTAACATAGCAAGTTAGAGTATGTCAGAGCTCCCTGGGAGCTCTAACATGGTATGTTAGAGCTCCGTGGGAGCTCTAACATGGCATTTTAGAGGCCCCTGGGAGCTCTAACATCGTATGTTAGAGCTCCAATGGAGCTCTAACGTAGCATGTTATATTATGTTAGAGCTCCCTGGGAGCTCTAACATCGTACGTTAGAGCTCCGTGGGAGCTCTAACATGTTCGAGTATGCCAGAGCTCCCTGGGAGCTCTAACATGGTATGAGTTAGGCTCCAATTGAGCTCTAACATAGCATGTGTATATTATGGTAAGCGTCCCTGGGAGCTCTAACATCGTATGTTAGAGCTCCGTGGGAGCTCTAACATGCTATCTTAGAGCTCCCAGGGGGCTCTAACATAGCAAGTTAGAGTATGTTAGAGCTCCCTGGGAGCTCTAACATACTGGAACAAGCCATGTTAGAGCTCCCACGGAGCTCTAACATACCATGTTAGAGCTCCCAGGGAGCTCTACCATGGAGCTCTAACATACTGAACATGCTATGTTAGAGTTCCGGGAGCTCTAACATACCATGTTAGAGCTCCCAGGGAGCTCCCACGGAGCTCTAACATGATATGTTAAAGCTCCGTTGGAGCTCGGTATGTTAGAGCTCCCAGGGAGCTCTAACATGGGAGCTCTAAGATAGCATGTTAGAGCTCCCAGGGAGCTGTAACATACTCGAACATGCTATGTTAGAGCTCCGTTGGAGCTCTAACAAGCCGTGTTAGAGCTCCCAGGGAGCTCTAACATACCATGTTAGAGCTCCCAGGGAGCTCTAACATACTGGAACATGCTATGTTAGAGCTTCCAGGAAGCTCTAACATACTCGAACATGCTATGTTAGAGCTCCGTTGGAGCTCTAACAAGCCATGTTAGAGCTCCCACGGAGCTCTGACATACTGGAACATGCTGATGGTATGGATGGTGATGATGATGATGATGATGATGATGATGATGATGATGATGATGGTGGTGATGATGATGATGGGGATGGTGATGATGGTATGGTGAGGGCGGTTGTGATGGTGATGATGGTGATGGTGATGATGGTGATTCTGGATGTGATGAGCACCACCATCATCACCATCACCATCGCCACCACCATCAGCACTACGATTTGATAACCACCATCATTACAATCGTCGTCGGCCCAGGGCGGACGATGATGAATATCATGACGACGATGATGACGATGATGATGAAAATGATGCAAAAACAGGTTGAGTCGGTTGAGTCCGAAAACTTCGCCTTAAATCAAGCCAGATTTGCTGCGGCTGCGTAGCCGGCGTCGATCGTGGCTGGTGGGGGTCCCACGCTGGCCCAGAGGGCCCAGCGCGCCAGCCGCACTCCCGCATGATCATCTGTGGTTGGGCGTGACCCGGCGACGGCGACGACGACGACATCGCGCACCGCGCACCGCGCCTTGCGCCGCGCGGTCACCTCCTCGCGCCCTTGCGCGCTGGCCCAGGCATGCAGTTGGGGGCTGATGAAGGTGCCCCTGGCCCAAAGTGCCCCCAGCTTGTCGCTCCATTGTGGAGCCGGCCCAAGCATCTATTCGGGGTTCGATAAATGTGCCCCTGGCCCAAAGTGCCCCCAGCTTGCTGCTCCGTTTTGGAGCCCCTGGGGCCCTCTGGGCCTCGTGAGGGGTGCTCTCGAGGCCGAGAGGGCCTCCCTGGAAATCCTGGGGAGCACCTCGGGCCATGGGGCGCTTCTAGCAGCACTCGATCTATGAGACTGGCGTCGCGGGCGACTCCGCTTCAATCTGTTCAAGTGGTCCCTCTGCTCGGAACTCTATCGCTGCGAATTGGCCGATTTGCTGACCGCCCATCGATGGAATTCAGCGTTGTCGCAGACCGCTGTTTGGCGGCAGGTTTTGCGATTTGTTATGATTCAATCGCTTCGATCATTCCGCCGGCCCGTAATTATTGTGCCTTACTTATGCCATCGCAGGCGTTTGCATGCGCGTTCGTGGCCTCTTGGGGGCAGCTTGGGGGCCTCTTTTTAGGCCTCTTGGGGGCCTCGTCGAGCGGCCTCCAGGGGGTCCTCCTGGGCACCTCTTGGGGCGGAAGGCTCGAATTGGTGGTTCGTGTTCCCCCTCTTAGGCCCCTCTTGGGACCGTCTTGGAGCTTGGAGCCCTCTTGGGCGATCTTGTGCCGTTTGCGGGCACTCTTGGACCGTCTTGGGGCCCTCTTGGGGGCCTCTCGGCCCGAGAGGCCCCCAAGAGCGCCCAAGACGGCCCAAGACGGCCCGAGAGTCTCGGGCCGTCTTGGGGCGGTCTTGGGGGCCCCTGTGGCCATCTTGGAGCGTCGGAAGCCCGAAAACGCGACAGCGAAGAAAAACATAGAAAAACACAAGGATTATCAATGGTTGTTGCTTCTTTTGGCCCTCTTTGGGGTCCTCTTGGAGCGCTCGTGGGGCTTCTGTGGAGCCTCTTGGGCCGCCTTGGGGCCCTCTTGGGCTGTCTTGGGCCGCTCTTGGGATTCTCCGGGACGCTCTGAGGGCGGCGCTCAGGGGCAAAACCATTTCCGATTTGTGTTTCCCAAGACCTTGCCGGGGATTTGCCAGGGTAGTTTTCGTTTGGGGATCCCCTGGGGCCGCCACGCGCCCGTGAACCAGAAATCTTCTAAAGCAGTTACTGGAGATCTTAGCACGCCTTTGGCCCGTTGGGCTGGCGAATTTCACCTTGCGGCGCAGAAGTCTGAACATCCCTCATGTCTGCTCATACCTTTCTTGATTGACCTCGTTGTCATGGACAATCGAGGCTCGAATTCCAGAATGTGCCCAAGAAGGGTCCGAGGACGGATTTGTGCTGCATTCCCGTCTACATGCTGCTGAGTCTGGATTGGAACAGCATGCTTGTTGTTTCTCTCTTCTCTCCTCTCCTTCCTTTAATTCCCCCTAAGTCCGCTCGCTTCTGTTGGCTCCCATCTGGATGCTGCCAGACTTGGATGTGCAGGCTCTTCGGAGACAACATCGGTATGTAGGCCATCTTGCCCGAAGGTGTGAAAGAGAACCCGAAAATATCCTATCTAGAGTGGTGCAGTGGAACAGATGCCCGAGAATGGCAACTAACAAACCAACACGCTTGCAGGGTTTTGTCAGATTCTGTCATTTCGTTCGGCACTACCACTTCGAGGAAAACGTGGATTGGTTCGAGTTAGCTCAGGACCGGAAGGAATGGAGGAGGCAGGAGATTGAGTGGGTCCGTTTTAGATAAGGGGAGTCGGCAAGGCGTGATGTATTATAGTATAACGTCGGCGTTTGCGCTGTTTTTTGAAGTCGGAGCCTGGCTCTTTCAGGACTTACCACCACCACCCTCATGCCATCCAAACGAGACTCTGCCTCCCTGGGTGCCGCAGACCGTACCCTACTCATCGGAGCGCCCCCGTGCTGGGGACCCAATCAGAACCCCTACACCTTGCGGGCATGCAGTCGCGACGTCACGCCAGCGTAGGGCGTTGTCAGACTCATGTAATTTGTCGCCACCTTCTGAACTCTTTTGGGGTCCGCCCCCCCGGGAGTCTACAGCGGAGCGTTCCCTGACGCCAGCCCGTGTCTTCTGGCGGCGAGGAGGGGCCCGTGGTTTTGACCGGAGGGTGTGCCCGCCTCCTCGCGCCTCCCCCTCCCCAGGGTCAACTCGGGCGTGTCCCTTACAGGAGGATTTTAGGCGAAAAACCAAAAGTAGTTCAGAAATACCCCCCAAATGTGCAAACATATTTTTCTAAAAATCGTCCCTAAACTATTTTTGACTATTTTTGAATATCCCCCCTGTAGAGGGACAGGCCCGACTTAACCCCAGGGTTCATTTCCATTCCTCAGACCAGATTTCGATGGCTTCCGATTCCAATTCGGTTCGACCTGTGGATCCCCATGTGGATTCCGATGTCCCAATGGGGGTCTCACCAGCCTGCCGATCTCCGCCCATTCGGCTTCTCCCGACTTAGCTGCCGATGTCCGCCGATCCCATTAATTTCGATCGCCGATCCGACTTATTGACTCGATTCTGGGCTTTCCTCCCTCCTTCTCTCCCCATCTCGGGAGGGAAGGAGCATCAATAACACGCCGTCATTGGGAGCCTGTCAGCGTTTTGCCCCTTCGTGTTTGTCCACGAAGGTCTGGTGTGGTTCTTCGGCAGATCGGTGATGGGTTCCCCACTGCGGCGTGTCATTGATATGGTTTTTGCTCCCTGGTCATCGTCCATCTTCTCATCCGCCCCCTATCGCATTTCCTTTGCTCGAGGAGCTCAAGACGCACGGCTTCAGCACCTTCGACGTGGTTGACGTATTGTCATTGGGATGGGGCAGCACACGGGGAGGGGGAATTTGAAGATGGAAAAAATTGACGGGGAGGAGAGGGCGGAGGAGGTGGAGCAGCAGGAAGAGAAGGATGATAATGGTGGTTTCTAATTCATCAGTAGGCCATCGCATATTCAAGCGACGATGCCCGTGGCTGATCATGCTGGTTCCTATTCTGGCTGATCTGGTTTCCCACATTCTCGTCGTTGTCGCCGTCGCGCCACGCATTCTCATCGTTGCCGTCGGCCGACGTCTCAGATGGCCCTCCTACGTTTCTCCATGCTTCTCCCTTCCCAGTGGATCAAGACTTGCCCTTGCACTTGTTGCAGCCTGGACGCCCAAAGGTCTTGCATCCTCACCTTGCGTCCCTCCGACGTGCGGCGACTGGGGCGGGGGGGTGGGGGTGTTGAGCCAAGGTCCCACTTCGCTGGCCACTCGCCGTTCCCCTCCTCCACGCCGTCGGGCTCGTCGTTTACTTCCTCCTCCTCGTCGTCGCCCTCCTCGTCGTCCTCCTCCTCCTGGGGCTCACGCTGGGCTTCTGGCCAGCAGAGCCCCAGGCCACGTCGCTGGAGATGACGCCGATACGGACGCTGCCAACGAGGACGAGGGCGACGTCAGGCCCCACCAGCCTGCATGTCGGCGATTTGCCAGCGACACTCGGCTGCGCAGTGCCCTTCGCCATAGCAGGCGACGGAGCCGCGAATGACCGAGCGACGCGGTTCTTGCTTCTGCCTTCTATTGGGAAGACCTTACAGCTCGTGCCGCCGACCTTGCAGGGGGACGACGACGACGACAACGACGACGACGACGACGATGATAACGACGACGATGACGACGACGACGACGACGACGACGGCTGCGGCGGCGGCGGCGACGACGACGACGCCGACGCTGACGCTCTGGAGCCCGTCTTGGGGCTCTCTTGTGAACATCATGGGCTCTGTTGGGGCTGGGGCCGGGACCCGGCCACGCGGTCATTGCTTCTGCCCTCTATGTTTTCGTGTTTTGTGCGGAGGAGGAGGAGGAGGTTTTGGGCGTTGTCTCCAGAGGTTGCTGAAGACTTCTGGGGGCGTCTGGAGAAGCTTCCAGCTCCTCTTCATCGCCATGCTCTTTCGTCCACTTTCTGCCTCTCTCCCCTCCTTGCTCCTCCCTGGGAGGCTCGCAGCATCGTGAGGGCAGGCGCCTGTGGGGGGAGCTCGGATGGAGGGCGGTGCTTGAAGCTGCGCCAGGCTGGTCTTCCTGGCCCGCTCCACAGCCCTCGGGGGGCTCGTTCTGCAACCCATGGGTTAAGTCGGGCCTGTCCCTCTACAGAGGTAATATACAAAAATAGTCAAAAATAGTCAGGGGCTTATTTTTTTTAGTTTTTGTTGTGACCATTTTGAGGCATTTCTTGAGTAGCTTTTATTTTCGTCCAAAATCCCCCTGTAGGGGGACAGGCCCGACTTAACCCATGGGGACTCCGCGTCCCTCGGCCCGTCGCGCGTCTCCCAGGACAACCCCCAAGACGGCCGGGGAGGGCCCAAGGGCGCCGCGAGTCTCCAGCCGAGGGCCCTGGGGCGCCGCCGAGTTCTCAACGGAGCTCCCCCCGGGGAGGAGTCTGTTTGGAAAAAGCAGCGCTCTCTGCTCGCCCCCAGAGTCTCAACACTGCGTGTCCCGCCTGCTCGGCACTCTTTGAATTTTGGGGGCTGGGCTGGATATAGCGTGTTTTCCGAAGCGAGAATCGCCCCCAGTGGATTCATCTTGAAATCGGACGGGTGGCCTCAGCACATGGCTCCGATCCGCGGGCCCACTTTGGCTCCAGGCCTCCGGGCCCACTCCACCCCTCCCGGGCTCTGCCGGCGAGGGTTTCATTTCCCCCGCCCGCCCGACCCCAGTGGTCGGCGATGAGGAGGAGGAGGAGGAGGAGGAGGAGGAGGAGGAGGAGGAGGAGGAGGAGGAGGAGGAGGAGGGCAAGCCCTGTGTGACTTGTTCTGCTTCACCGAGCCGCTTTGGCGCAGGATTGGGGTTGGCTCCGGCCCGGGGAGCCCTCCGGGGCCTCGTGCCTCCGCCCGTCGGCGAGGGGGCGCCGCCGCCGGGCCCCCGCCTCCGGGCCGGGCGGGCCCTGCCGGGCGCCCATCCGGGCGTGGGGCCCCCACCTCCGGGCAGGGCTGGCCCCGCGAGTGCCAGCTCTCTGCAGTGGTGGGTCCCCCCGCCCCTGGCGAGGGCGGGTCTCACCGGCGCGGAGGGCGGCGCCTGGCCACCGCGCTCGTGAGTTGCAGCGGGGGCTTCACTCCCGCGCTTCGGCTCCCTCCTCGTCCTCCCTCCTTCCGCTCCTTGCTCCTCGCCCTGCAGACGGGGGGCCTCCCTCCCCTCCCTGCTCCTCCTCCCTGGTCCTCCTGCTCCTTCGCCCTCCTCGTTCCTCCCTCCCTCCTCCCCCCCCCTCACCGGTCGATGAACCTCAGGGCGTGCGTTCGCCCAACGCGTGTGTGCTGCTCCGCTCGAAGCCTCCGGCGGTGCGCTGGCTGTGCTGCGGCCCTCGCTGCGCCGCCCGCGTCGTGCTGAAGGGTTTCGGTGGACAAGCGCGCACTGGCGCCACCGCGCGTTCCGAGGAGCATCGAGTCTCCCTCCCTCGTTCTCACCCTTCGTCCGTCGGCGGTGAGCGAGGGACGAGAGTGAGAAGAGGCGGGCCTTCTCAGAAGGCTCGGAAGTCCCCCTGGCCTCCTGAGAAGCCTTCTTAGCCTTTCCCGAAGACGCGGAAAACCGCTCAGAAGGCGCGAGGGCTTCCGAGAAGTCCCGCCGCATTCTGGGAAGGCCTTCCCCTTCCCACTTCCCCTCCTCGCTCGCCGCCGAGTCCTCCCCCCTGGTCCTTGCCCCCCCCCCCGCGCGCGCGCGCGCGCGGCGGAAGGTCCAGCGCCGACCAGATGCCGAGGGAGCGGAGGAAGAACGAGAACGCGCTGTTCAGCGCCTCCGCCGGCAGCGGGCCGCCACGGGCCATGTGGCCCGGGAGTTGGCGCGTCCACGGCGTGCTGCGCCGCTCTCAGGAGGGGACGAAAGCACACAGACACAATTACTCGTCGACTCCCAGGAAGATATGGGAAAATATGGGAAGTGGGGGGGAAGACGAAAACCGAGAAAATAAGAGAAAATATGGGGAATCCGGTTATTAGTGTCTATTTATTTGTGTGTCCCAGGGCCCCTTCACACTCCTTCAGGTCCGATCATGACGAAAGAAAAACACACCCACACCCATAAGGGAACCGGAGGGAGGAGGACTGACCATGGTTATGGGTGCGGGCTGTCGGACCTCGAGGGGGGCTCTCGTTCGAGCGAGGACCCCCATCCGACAACACGCACCCATAGCCCCCTCCGTCCCCCCTGTGGGTATGGGTGTGTGTGTGTGCTGCTCGCTCGTCATATGTTTTTTCTTCTCCTTCTTTCCCGGACAGCTCGTAGAGAGGTAAGAGGGTTTCAGATTAAGAAGCACGAGCCGCAGGGTAGCCCCGGAGTTCGTGCCCGCTTCCGTCCAGACACCTCGCCGCGAGTTGCTTGACCCTGCAGCGTGTTCCGGCAGGCCTTTTCTAAGCGTTTCCCAAGACGAGTGCCCAGAAGCTCTCCAGAAGGTCCTTCGGAAGCTATGTCCAGGTTCTTCCAGAGTTCTTCGACAGGCTTTCCGACGCCTGTCGGGCGCCTTGCTATCCGGGTTTTGGACCCCACAAGTTCTTTTATTTCTGGTAAGTATTCTCCTTATCATTATGATTAGGACCAGTATTTGTTATTATAACTATTTTTGGTCATGTTTAAATTATTACTATATGTTACTTAGTACAAGAATTATTATTATGTTTGATTTGCTTACTTTCCTTATTTTTATTTATTGTTTATTATAATTATCCGTATTGTTCTTTGTTCTTCGCAAGATCGCTCACACCTTCGTCTTTTTGTTCCAGAAGACTCGGATTTCACCAAAAGTCCTTCTCTCCGTGCGAGCGGCGAAGGGGGGATTGATTGGTGGAGGGTTGGAGCGGGGCATGTGCCGCTGTTTGCCGCTAGTCGGACGCCGCCATTTGCCGTTCATTCGCCATCATCTGGAGGACGAGGAGGAGGCGGAGGAAGTGCAGGAGCAGGAGTGACGGATGATTCTCGATCCTCGATCCTCGATCTTCGATTCTCGAAATCTTGGAGATTCGGTTTTCCGTGCTTGCAAAAGCGAACGTAACCTTCAGATCTCACGGATTCTTGTCAGGTGTTTTGCCTGCGCTATGTTCGGTGCGATGTTGAAGGATGAAAGAAACAATTCACGGCTCCCACATTACAGGAACACCCGGCCGACAAGTCTTCCGTCGGCCTCTACAGTGGGTACCCGGTTTCTGGGATGCTCTAGCCTGGCTTTGTGCGCAGAGGTGCGTGCAAGCGCGTCGATTTCATCCAACGCAACATCGGCGTCACGCCAACATACTTATATTATGTGTGCGTCGCCCCCCCATGGGCGACTTGCGCACCGAGAAATCTTACAGTATATGCGTCGTGGCGGGCGCTTTCTGGTCACACCGCTCGGGAAACTACACTACAAGATGGGTATACTATATGTTCGGGTCGGACGCGCGCCTCCAAGGAGGAGGACATATAGTACTAGTATGTCCCTGTGCGTCCCACAACAATTTCCTCGTCGTGCAAAGGTGCACACTCGGTCGTCACCCAGTCGCCACACCTGTCATCAGGAGGGGACAAAAACACGCAGACACAATTCATCGTCGACTCCCCGGAAAATATGGGGGGCTGTCGGAAGTGAGGGGGAAGACGAAAAGCCAGAAAATACGAGACAATATCTGGAATAAGTTATTTGTGTGAATTTATTTGTGTGTGTCCTTGGCCCCTTTGATGGCAGGCCCGGCCGCCCTCCCCCCGGGGCCTGTGCATTTTTCCTTCGGCGAGGACCATCGAGGAGCATCCTTGATCATCTGGCGAAAAAACCACGCACGAAACCGAAAAAAGCACAGGGAATGTACGTCCGAGCAATGTCCAGCCTAACGCAACACATTTCCTCGTCGTGCACAGGTGCACACTCGGTCAACACCGGCCGCCCCTCCCCACGAGGGCCTGGCAGCCCGGCCGCCGGCCGCCCCTCCTCGAGGGCCTCCCCCCCGCGGGCGGCGCAGGCGCCATCTTCCCGAGCAGCAGGGACAGGCTCTCCACCATGGAGATCAACAACAACATCGTCCCGAGGGCAACGGCAGTCAGAGGAGGAACAGGTACCGATGCCTCTACACTCTCTCCGTTTTCCCCTTTTGGGGCCTCCTGGGCCTCCCTCGTCGCCACCGCTGGATTCGCCTCGAAATCCTGGTCAGAACGCACCCCAGGGGAGGTCCGGGGAGTAGCGGTATCGGTACCTTTTGGTTTCCCCAGATAGGGGGGATAGGCATAGGGGGGGATGCATCGACCCCCAATCGCCCATTGATCGCCGATGGGGACCCGATAGCCCCTCCCCGCCAAGGAAGGTGCGGATTCACCATCGGTGGCCTAACGCCGATCTATCGACGATGTATCGCCGATTCCAGGTCGATGCATCCCCCCCTATGCCTATCCCCCCCTATCGTTGCCCTCATTGTCCCGAGGGGGGATGACGGCGAACCACAGACTTTTTTGCAGCACGACTCAAGGCTACGACATGTCGGAGGTTCGGCGCCTCGCGCGTCAGGACGTGAGGCCGTGGCTACGCCTTCCCAAGCGCCTGAGCCAAAAACAACTACGGTGATACAACATTCAGTGATATTTGTATCATGTATCTCCCCCTGCTGCCTGTACGTGCGGAAGCCTACGAAGATATGACATTGGCGAATTTCGTGTCTCTCTCCGCGGGCGTTGTCGTCCAGTTTCGAGCCCTGGGACCCTCACAGATCGATCCGGCTCGAAAGATAAGGCAGGAAGATGGGGGGTCAGGGGCTCCGGTCGTGATGCTTCTGTAATGTTTCAGTTTTTGGGAATGTCGGATCTCGGGTAACACGGCTCTGGGGCCCATTTCGATCCGCTTCAGTGTCGATCTCGGCGGGCCCGATGTTGCAGCGATCCGGTGCGGCCCGGTGTCTGCGCGGCGGTGTTGTGCACCTGGGCGCGGCCGATGCGATTCGATTTCGGCCATGGCCATCAACGACAACATCTTCCCGAGGGGAGCTTGGCATCGCTCGGACGTGTGTATTTTTCCTCCGGCGAGGACCATCGAGGAGCATCTTTGATCATTTGGCGAAATTTCCACGCACGAAACCGAAAAAAAGCACAGGGAATGGACGTCCGAGCGATGGCCAGGCAGGGGTCTCTCTAATTAAGGGGGCGGCGCGAGGGAACGAAGATGATCAGGCCTCTCGCATCGCGGGGTGCGATGCGCGAAGTTTGGTGCCGTTTGCAGAGGCCGAGGGGGAGAAGGATGAGGCGAAGGAGCAGGAGGAGAGGGAGGGGGGAGCAGGAGCAGTAGGAAGGGCAAGCGCGGGATCAGGAGGCTGATTGCCCAGAGAGCCCGACACCTCCAGAATGAAGGTGCCCATGCTGATGGTACAACCCTCGGCTCTGGAGTCGTAACCTGCAGAATGGACGTATCCCTCCGGAAGTTATTGCATTAATGATGACCCGAAGGTTAAAGGTTCATTTCAGAGGACTATTGCCACCCTCTGTCCAAGGAGAAGGGACCACTCCGATCATCAGAGTTCGCGTTTGCTAAGCAGCGCTGGAGTCCTTACTCAAGCGCTGTCGTTAAATGGCTTCGAGTGTAGGCGTTCTTCCACCAACCGCTCTGGGAAAAAGAGGGAGGAACACGAGGTGGAACGGCAGCAGCGGGGACGGCCAGATTGCCCGGCGGGATTGGAGGTCGGCGCAAGCAAGTTCAGCTTCGACCATGTATTTCTGATATTATCGAGACTCGAGCCTATGCCGCCAGCCCCTTGCCTCGTCGCGATTCAGTTGAATGACGAGGATGGTGATGATGATGATGATGATGATGATGATGATGATGATGATGATGATGATGATGATGATGATGATGATGACGATGACGATGACGATGACGATGACGATGACGATGATGTTGATAATGTTGATGATGGTGATGGTGATGGTGATGGTGATGGTGATGGTGATGGTGATGGTGGTGATGATGATGAGGAGGAGGAGGAGGAGGAAGAGATGAATAACCAGGAGGAGAAAGGAGAGACCGAAAAGGATGAGCAGTTGCGGCAGAACTGGCAGGAGGCAGCATGAAGCGGCAGCATACTCTTTGGAGGGGTTGGTTGCCATTGTTCACTCGGGCTCGAATTTCCTGCACATAGCTGGCATGGGTATTATGTGGCCTCTGCGTCCTGCGGCCCTGTCTCTATGCATGATTTCACTTGCGGCGTCCTCGAGGAGGGGAAGGATACGGAGAGGGAGAGCGAGGCCTCGTCTGGGGCCCGTCAGGTCGAATGTTTCCCCGCCGCGCCTTTCATTTTTTCGTCGGCGGCGAGGCAGAGTTGGCTGCGCCTGCCATTGAGCCAAACGGGGGCACCGAGAAGCGAATTGGCCAGCGTGCAGTAGCGGGAAGAGGCAGAGGGGGCGACCGTGGATCGGGACGACCGACATGGGTACGGAAAGAATGGGTACAAAGACCGACAGCCGTTCTTGCGCATTTTGAACAGGATTCGCTGTCAGCGTCGCCGCGGATTGTGTCCATTTGAAACAGAAGGCCGCCTGCCAAACAGCGGCCCCTGTTGGTTCGAGACAACATTTGCTGTTGGGCACTGTGCCCATTGTTTCTGTGGCCATCTCGGGCGTCCAAAGTGGAGGGGGGGGAGACAAGGCCACTCAGAGGCGGCAGAGCTCCCACCCGAGTGTGCTGGCGCGGCCAAGCCCGTCAGCGGGATCCATGGCAGCTGCCTGGCAGCGGCGCTGGGGCACCCACGGGCGATGACGAGGCCCAGTACACGCCGGTCGCTGAAAGTAGGTATTTTTGGATTCCCAGATCTCCAATCTACTTCAAGCGCCTTCCTACTTCAAGAATCGACACACTTTTGCTGTGTTTTGTTGCTCTCTGGGAGGACCTGGACCCAATCCACTTTATCCGCCTTCCTACTTCCTGTTTTTACCTACTTCTTCCGACCGACGTGTACTGCAGTGACGCTGCCGATGAAATAGGCGAAGTACTTCGACGGGTGGCTCGAGATAAGGTACGGCAAGTTTGTGAGCAGTCTAGGTGTGGATTGCAACCAGCAAGATGCTGGGCCCGCGGAGGGAATGCGGGCAGCAAAACCAACCCAGGTGCTCGGCCCGACCACACGGGGAGGCTGCAAGCTGCGGCAGCCTCGCGAGCGCCATGACGGTGCGGTTCATGATTCCTCTGGGTGGCAAGGGCACATGTTGGCGAACATCATCACCTTCGTCAGCCACTGAACGTAATGGTGGATCATTTTGAACTGGAACCGCTGCAGAGCCTCTCCGACCAGCCGAAGTGCAGTCACGACCCCAGTGAGGCATGTGAGACCATAGGATGGTTCTGACAATGTTCATGATATCGCACAGTTGGTCCATCTCAATGCTGCAAAGGAAGTGGGTGCGGGTGCTACAATTCTCGATGACGTCTGCTAGTCCGTGGTATCCTCGCATTGAGTTGAAGGCTGATGGCCTGTTGCATGCCTCCGTCTCGAGAAAACTCGCCCCTGATCTAAGACGTTCTAAGGACGATGGAAACCACCGCGCGCAAGCAAGCAACCCCTCTTGATGAGACTGTCCATCATGTGGCACCACACTGGAAGTTGCGTTGCTAATGGGAAGGCACGAGACCGAACAGGATGCTCTGGTGGACCCCCGCCCAAGTGCCGCACGAAAGGTGCGACCTAGTATTTGGTGTGCGTGATTCCAAAATTTGTCCCCATGTCTGTGACGATACCTCGCACCACTTCTGTGACGCGACGCACCCGATTCCGCTCAGTAATCAACAGGATTTCCCCGAGCAGCGCCATGATCTTCGCTTCGCTTTCGCACACCGACGCCCCGACCATTCGGGACCGCCGGCAAAAGACGTCTGGGCAACAGTTGCTCATAGAAATGCACGGCTCAGGTCATTGCCATCATGTCCCACCCTCTCGATTGAGGAGAAGAATCTGCGTAGAAGTAGATGCCTACTTTATCCTAGTCCAAAGACTCGAGAAACATCCGCATGATCAGCTTTGCGCACAAATCAAGACAAGCCCGAGCCAGCCGTAGCGTTACTGGTCTAGGTTTTTGGAGCCTCGCCATCATCGCTGCTCTGTTGCCTGGGCCACCCCGTGACGGTATCTTTCCGAACGCATGTGTTGCCTCCGTTGCGTTCTTGTAGTTATTCAGGAACCGCGTCGCGGGTAAACATTAAATCAGTAACACTGCAGGCATATGTTTGGTGTTCTTGCGACGACGCTTGCGCTCTCGAGGGGCTCCCCGCCCGTCGGCGGGCCAAACGCCGAGGACTTCCTGCGCTCTCCTAGAGGAGGGGCCACGTGGCAAGCACCGTGTTCGCGAAAGGCGATGTGCCTGGATGGCTACAACACGAAGCATCAACCTTGCTCCTTCGACAACCTGCCGAGCGAGATCGACAAACGGAGTGCAAGACGCTGAACGCAATGCCGATGTATACGACGCCTTCCATTGGGCAACGATCTCACCACATGTCCAACGTGACTGATCTTCATGGCGCATCATGCGCCCCCCACTGGTATCATGTAGAAACACAGAAGGATTGATTCCACCATCCATGTCGACACCCCCGTCAAGCGCAAAAGCTTCGACCACTTCGTACAACCATGAGCCGCGAGTGGCAGCCCTGATTGTGTTCTTGGCCAGATCGTGCAACGCTTGTCCGAGCTTGTTCTGAACCCGTACCCGCCTGACCCTTGCAGCCTCCAGCGGCCGAGGACGAGGCCACCGGCGCGAGCCCCGATTTGCGCGCCGTGCCCAGCAGGAACTGAGTTGAGAAGACCACCGGCCGTCCACGTATTCTCCGCTTCTGAGGACAGTAAAGGGCCCGACGCTACGAGCGGAGCGAAGCACTCTCCTTCGCTCTGGGCGGTGGTTGGTTTCGCCCTCATCTCCAGTCGCGCTGTCCTGACCCTCATCTCCGTCGATATCCTCCATATGAAAAGTCGGCAAACGGCACGCATGAAGCTGGAATTTGCAAGCGTATGTGAGGCAACATGTGGTACCAGAGTTGGATGCAAGATGTGATGTTATTGACGGTGCCCTAAGCCCCAGTTCGAGGTAGTTGTGACGATGTATGAGCGCCTACGGGGGTATTGATGGCAGTTTGGCGCGACGCCCGGATGACTCATATGCGTGATGGTGGTGTTTACAATGGTATGTACTGGCGGCGACACGCGTGGTGCGTATGCGACGGCGTGTGACAGTGGCGACGTTTGCAGCGCGCTCGCAGGAGCTTCAGACGCTCGTGCCCCCCGCCAGGACTTACAGTCAACCCGCATAGTAAGGATGGGCAACCTTCCCAAGGGTACCCCCGCATCCTTGCCTCCTCGGTCCATCCTTCGCCAATTTCGTCAACCGCGCCCCGCTCGAAAAGCTTTGAAATGGGCGTCCAAGCATCCTTATCGCGCATCCTTATTATCCGTAAGGGCTTCGCCCCCTGCCGCCGGCCCCCCCCTCTCTCGGAGAATGGGCCATGGAAGAGCTAAGTCATGAGGCCTTGGCGCTGTCGTGAAGCAGTATCGAAACTTCATGCGAAGCCGAGTCGCAATCAGCAAAACCAACTGATCACAAGAGGGGTTACCACACCTGGCGATTGGTAAGACGTGTATGGTTTAAGGGCTTGGTTACCACACCTTGCGATTAAAGGGCCGAGGGAGTTCTCGCAGTTTGGGTTACCACGCCTTGCGATGGATGTGCGTGAAGGGTTAGAATTTCAGAAATGTGGCAAATCCCCTGTGTTTTTGGACCCTGACCCCGCGGATCTGCGTGAGGGGTGGCGCCGAATTTCAGAAATGTGGCAAATCCCCTGTGTTTTTGGACCCTGACCCCGCGGATCTGCGTGAGGGGTGGCACCGAATTTCAGAAATGTGGCAAATCCCCATGTGTTTTTGGACCCTGACCCCGCGGATCTGCGTGAGGGGTGGCACCGAATTTCAGAAATGTGGCAAATCCCATGTGTTTTTGGACCCTGACCCCGCGGATCTGCGTGAGGGGTGGCACCGAATTTCAGAAATGTGGCAAATCCCCTGTGTTTTTGGACCCTGACCCCGCGGATCTGCGTGAGGGGTGGCACCGAATTTCAGAAATGTGGCAAATCCCTGTGTTTTTGGACCCTGACCCCGCGGATCTGCGTGAGGGGTGGCACCGAATTTCAGAAATGTGGCAAATCCCCTGTGTTTTTGGACCCTGACCCCGCGGATCTGCGTGAGGGGTGGCACCGAATTTCAGAAATGTGGCAAATCCCATGTGTTTTTGGACCCTGACCCCGCGGATCTGCGTGAGGGGTGGCACCGAATTTCAGAAATGTGGCAAATCCCATGTGTTTTTGGACCCTGACCCCGCGGATCTGCGTGAGGGGTGGCACCGAATTTCAGAAATGTGGCAAATCCCCTGTGTTTTTGGACCCTGACCCCGCGGATCTGCGTGAGGGGTGGCACCGAATTTCAGAAATGTGGCAAATCCCATGTGTTTTTTGACCCTGACCCCGCGGATCTGCGTGAGGGGTGGCACCGACTTTCAGAAATGTGGCAAATCCCATGTGTTTTTGGACCCTGACCCCGCGGATCTGCGTGAGGGGTGTCGATTTCGAGCCCCCCCAGCAATTCAGACAACGCGCCCAGGTGAGGCTAAAAATCCTGTTTGGGCCTCCCCCCCTCGCGCGGTCAATCAACTAGTTACAGTAACCAGCAAGAAGTCAACTAGTTACAGTAACCAGCTAGAAGCAGAACTGTAACACTGGAAACTACAACCTACGACTGGTACAGGAAACTGCGAATCACCTGCCTACAGCCTGGTGGCCCCACAAGGGGGCCAGCGGATATGGGTTGATCGTACGAAAAGCGCACACATAATAGGGCCATCTGGGCGCTTTTACGGACAGGGTTCTAGGCGACCCCCAGTTTACGCAGGTTTGGGCGCGTCCAGTGGGCTGATGAAGCTCCAGACGGGAGGCTGCCTCACGAGGCCGTGCTAGGACCAGGGTGGATCGTCACCACCCACCAAACCACCCCAACCCGAAGGCCTTAATTTTGACCTCCATTTCCAGTGTGGGGTCGGGGAACATTGAAAAAACACATATGGAACCCGTCCCAACCCGAAATTCGGGTCTTCGGGTTGGGTTGGGGTGGTCTGGTAGGTAGTCAGATCGTTCTGGAACACTTCGGAACACCCGCGGCGCCCGATACGCCTCCCAGAGCTGCCAGATCTCAGAGGCGTCCAGCATCGGTGTTGACATATCCGCGGTCGAAAACTGGCGCAATTCAGCTTAATCCGGTCGAGTCCCGTTCTTTACCTGGCCTAATCCGGCTGAGTGGCCTTTTCTCGGGCTTAACCCTTAATCGTTCGTACGAAGTTTTCCCAGCAGTTGCCTCTGAATGCATCGTATTTTTTGGCACCGCCGAAGGCCCTGCACAAGGACGTCCAGAGACCTCCGCGGGCCCACAGAGAGGCCTCACCTCCCCTCGAGCGGTGTGTTGCTGGCCTCCCCACTACGGGGAAGGGGATTGTGAGCCCACTGCAATGCAAACAGGAGGAGGAGGAGGAGGACGAGGACGAGGAGAGGGAGGGAGGGAGGGAGGGAGGGAGGGAGGGAGGGAGGGAGGGAGGAGGAGGAGGAGGAGGAGGAGGAGGAGGGGAGAGAGGTCGCCATTGAAGCAAACGGGTCCTGAGGTTCTCGCCGCTTTCGGGCCCTCGTCGGGGCCCTCCACGGGCCCTTTAGTAGCTGTCAAAAAACGACGCAGGGCGAGGAAGTGACCCCGGGGGATGGCCCGGGGGCCCAGGATCGGGTCGGACAAATGTCGGCGGCGAGCGAGGGGGGGAATTGAGAAGGCCTGGAAATCCCCCAGCCTTTGGGAAGTTTTCTAAGCCTTCCCCGAAAACGCAAGAGACCTCTCAGAAGGCCAGAGACCTTCTGAGAACCTCCGCCGCCTTCAGAGATGGCTCTCTCCTTCTCATTTTCCCCCCCTCGATCGCCGTCGAGAAAGGGGGCGATGGGAAAGGGGGTCGTTGCGGAGTCTGCTGCATGCAATTGGTTGCGGCGCCGCCGTCTGGCACCTCCCTCGAGGCGTGCCGGCGCCTCCCGCGCAGGGAGGCGCCAGCGAGAGATCAGCCGATTCGCTTACCTTTCCCAGGGCCCCCTTTTGTCCGACTCGAGAGGATCATGAGCAGCGATAGGGGGGACAGCAGGGCTTACGTACTGCGATTCGTCCGATTCGATTCGATTTCGATGGGTTCCGATCTCTCAATGGTGGCCTCCCAGGCTTCCGATGTCTGCCGATTCGATTTCTCCCGATTTGGCTGCCGATTTCCGCCGATCCGATTCATTTCGATCGCCGATCCGTATTATCGATTCGATGATGGGCCCTCCTAGGACAGGCATAGGGCGGAGGCGCATGGACCCCCAATCGCCCACTGAGCGCCGGTGGGGGTCCGACAGCCCTAACCTGCCCAGGTCCGTGCGGATGTATTATCGGAGGCCTATATCGGCGATGTACCGCCGATTCCAGGTCGATGTGTCCCCCCCCCCCCGAGTGCCAGTCTCCCCCTGTCGTTGGCCCTCAGAAGAGGGGGGGGAGAAGGGAGGTCGCCACGCAGCATGCGGCTCCTCAGGCTTTCCGCCGTCCTTGGGCCCTCCGCGGGCCCTGGGGCTGCCGCAGGAGACGACGTCGGGAGACAGGGGAAGGGCCCCGACCCGAGGGCCTTGGCATCGCTCGGACGTGTGCATTTTTCCTTCGGCGAGGACCATCGAGGAACATCCTTGATCATGTGGCGAAAAAGCCGCGCACGAAACCGAAAAAATACACAGGGAATGGACGTCCGAGCGATGGCCAGGGACACGCTTCCCACGCCAAGGAGGGAGGGTGGCCGGGAGTTCGTGGGAAAAACACATGTGGGAAACAAAACATACACCGTGGGGGGAACAAAAACATTGGGAACAAAAGCACATTGTGTTTGTTTCCCGCAAACGTGTGTGTGTGTGTGTGTGTGTGTGTGTGTGTGTGTGTGTGTGTGTGTGTTTGTGTGTGTGTTCCCACAGAGGCAGCGCGGAGGGAAAGTAGCTTGTGACATCGGATGGGCGGTGCCGTCGGCCGCCCTCCCTCTCCTCTCTGGAGCTCCAGTCCCCGTCCCCCCGGCCCCCTCCCCGCTTCTGGGCTGGAGCCGCGCGGATTCCCACGCAGTTGCGGTAATATTCAGGGCTGGAGGAGGGGCGAGGCAGAGGAGGGGCAGGAGAGGGGCGAGGCAGAGAAGGGGGAGGATTTATGACTGGGTGGTACAAAAGGACGATGCGGCCCAGCAAGGGAAGGGAGGATCCTGAGGATCATGGACATTAAAGAGCACCGCTAAAAGGAGGGTGGACACGCATGGCTGGACCTGAACGGTGTTTTTGGTGACTTCGTGGGCCGTGTTCGTTTCGACTGCGTTTTGCGGCAAGGGCGGGTTCGTGGCAAAAGGCGAGGGAGAACGAAAACGAAACGAGCACGAAAAACACCGTTTAGGTTCAGCCCTGGCGGTACTCACGCGCGCCGTGGCCGAGCACATTCTTCTCTTGCCGGTGATAGCCCCGAGCGGAAAGGCCAAGGTCGGGCAGGCTCCGGGTTGGAGTCATGGGAAGTGGCAGCCCAGGAGCTGCTCAGTGCGATCCTGCCAGGGTGCAGGAGTGCGGCCATCCGAGGCATTATCCGAGCAAGTCTGCGCCACGCTTCCACGATCTTCGCTCCTGCAGGCTCGCTCCCGCGCCCGGGTTGGATGCCTCCTGAGTGCTCTCTCCGCCGCCCATGAAAATTTCACGCTTGGACGTCCCCAGAGAAGGGGATCATCGGATTTTTGGCGTCCTACATTGCCTCCATCGGCTTGCTTGGACAGAGGGGTGCGCTCTTGGCAGTGGCTTAGCCTTCCCTGTCTCAGCGACCGTTGGATTATTTGATTGTGTGCCTCGTCCGTGGAGCACAGCGCATGCGAAACATTTGGGTCACCAGTGGCCGAGTGTGAGGACGCGGTTGAGTCTCTTGGTGCTGGCCTGGGGCCGCGACTCTAGGCAAGTTGTGGAACGCATGCCTTGTAGTACATTGGAGGCCCATTCCAAGAAACACCCTGCTTGCCTCCAGGGTGCCCTGCGTTTCTTGGGTTTCGATGGTTTTGCCATGGAACGCGTGACGTTCCCACGTTAAAAACGATCAGGGTTGAGTTTCTCGTGGAAGGTTTCTTGTGGTCGGGCCAACACTGTAGTGTGGCTGTGCTTTCTACGGGCAGCCAGCTGATGTAACTGCAAGGGTGTCGATCACAAGAGAGTGTCGTGCAGGTGGTCGCGCTGTGCGCGGTGTCCCAGCAAATGCAATGTGTTCTGGTATGTTACTTGGTTTGCCAAGTAGTGGCGGGTTTGCAGTACTCAGTACCGCCAGGGTGCGATTGACTGCAGTGCTCGCACCCCGTTCAATATGTAGGTTCTGGCACAGAAGCTTCCGTTGCACTGATCGGATGTTGATTATACTTGGTGTGTGAAGGTGCCCGATTGCTGTGACATCTTCGTGCTTTTTCAGCGTCATATTCTAACAAGCGTCCTCTCAGCGCTTCCACATTTCACACATGGAACACCATCTAATGGTCTACAGGATCAGGGAGGAGGAGGAGGAGGAGGAGGAGCAGGAATGAGGAGCAGGAAGGAGGAATTAGAGGAGGAGTAGGAGGCAGGATGAGGCTGAGGACGGAGGGGTGTGTTGTTTTTGGTGGCCGCGTTGTGCATCCAATGTGTCGCCCTGGTGCTTCGTCACTGGGCCGCAGTGTTGGCGAGCGGAGCAAATAGGACCCTGCTTCGTCAGAGTCGTATGCTGTGAGATGCGGAGCGCGCGCACATCGCCTTTGTTTGTCCCCTTCTTTCTCGCTCCGAGGACGTCGCAGGCAGAGTCTCGGTACCTCACTTGTCGCCGCCTCCCTCGGGGTTGTCATGCTCAGGTGAGCGGACAGCCCCAGCCGCCCCATCCAATTACTTAACAACGCAATTGATGACCGTTGCTGGGGGCACTCCTTGGTGGTAGCGTCCGGGCGGAGCAGCAGCGCGCGCCGCGGGGGCGGCTCCCCAGGCTCAGCGCTGCGGCTCGTCCTGTAGGCTCTGTGCTTGGTCGGATATATCCGCGAGGATAATGCGGTCTGCCCGTCAGAGGTGCGAGTCATCGCCTCTAGTTCCTCGGGCGGATTGACGTACAGTGGGGGCGCGCATCAAGAAGCCACATGCTTTCCGTCAGGCAGAGCATCCTGCGTTTCTTCATTCCGCGAGCTGCGTAGTGACATCCCGCAGCCGTTGCAGAAGCTGCTGCGTTCAGGGTGCCCTGGGTTTCCTATCAGGTGCACCTCGCGCGCGGGTTTTCAGGGTTGGGTTTCTTGCGAGGTTTTCTTGCGGCCACGCCCGCACTGTATCCATCCTGGCGGTCTTCTTCGAGCTCTGCCGCCAGGGGCTGTCTGTAGGCCTCGAGGCCAGCGAATGCGGATCCAGGATGAAAAATTGTCCCCACGGGGAAGTGGGCGAGAGTTCTTGGATCAGCGGAGCGAAGTCCATCCGCCTTCTCTTTACCTCTCCTTTCTCCCGAGCCTGTACACAGAGGAGCTGAAGCGGAGCAGTGCGGGGTGAGTGAGGGGCCCGGAGCAGGAAGAGGAGGAGGCCGCGGAGGGGGGAGGAGGTGGATGGAGAATGGCAGACATGGAAGACATGAGATAGAGGAGGAATGCCGTGTAGGAAAAAGGACGAGGCTCAATAACGATACAAATGACGATGGAGAATTGCAGAGAGATGCGACGAAACCCACGAAACAACGTTGTTGAATTATCTCGTGAAGCCCACAGCATCCCCTTCGGGGAGCCGAGTCGCGTATGTCGTGATCGAGGGGTGGGGGAGTGGAGGAAGAGGAGGAGGCGAGCGAGGAGGCGGAGGAGGAGGAGGACGACGACGACGAGGCCTGAGGGTCTTTTCGGAGGGTTTTCGTGAACCTCCAAGGGGTAGTTTGGGAGCCTCTTGGGGTCCTTTGGGGGGTTCTTGGGGTTTCCTGGGGGCCTCTTGGGGCCTCTGGAGGACCTTTTGGGGGTCTTCGGGAGGCTTTCTTGGGCCGTCGTGGCGTCTTGTCGCCCTCCTGAGCCGTTGTGGGGCCCCTTGGAGGTTTCATAGGCAGTATTGGAGCGTTGGGAAGCCGAAAAGGCGAGGAAGCCAAATCGTTCAACAACCGCCGGAAAATCTATTGATTTTGTCTCTTGGGGTCCTCGTGAGAGTGCTCTCGAAGGCCTCTTGCGGCGTCTTGGAGGCGTCTGAGGCCGTCTGGAGGGCATCGTCGCCAGTTTGGGGGCCTTTTGGGGCCGTCTGGGAGCGCTCTTGGACCCTCTCGGACGCTTCTGACGACTTGTTTGGTTTGTTTCGGCTCGTTTTGGACGGAGTCACCGTCCCAGAGGCCCACGCGGAACACCAGAAACGCCATGGGGGGGTCAGAATGGTCGCTTTTTAGTTCAATTTTGGTAACTTTCGGTATTGTTTTGGACTGGCACATTTTCAGCGTGTTTGGTTTTGCTACCGAAAAGAACGCGTAGTTACGGGTGCAAGGTACGGGGGGCCCTTACGAGCCGTAGAAACCAGTTGCGTCTCAGGGCTGCCTGGGCTGTGGGGCACTCCGCTACATTTCAGTCGGGCTTGCCCCCCTAAAGGAGATATCCAAAAATAACATAAAAAAACGGGGACGATGTTTAACAGTTTTTCAGTATGTTTGAACATTTTTCGTGTACTGATGATTTTTCGTACAACATCCGCCTGCAGGGGGACACGCCCGACCTAACACTACATGCTGGCTCACCCATTCTGTTCCAAGAGTCCTCTCGCCAGTCACCGCCACCCGCTGACTGTGATTGGAGCGCCTATTTTGGGGCCAGTCTGGTACCATGTGAGTCCCTGAGGCACAACAGAAGCTAAGAATGCGAGAAATCGTGACAGCGCTGAGAAGCTTGCGGGATATGCGCAAACCCTGTTATTTGCAGGGGGTTCGTGGCCTTCCCACGCCAGCAGCCCCACGACCAGCCCCGCCAGCGCCACGTGTCACCCGCCAGAGAGGCCGCGTCGGACGGCGCGGGCTCTGTGCATACGCACTGCGTTCTTTTCATTCAGAATTCGTGCGCGTCTTACTCCACAGAACGTGCTGTTTTCTCGGGAAACGTCCGGGCTATGTGCATACCGTCGCACTTGCCATGGTTCGGCTCCACCAGTCCGCCTGGCGACGACGATAATATTCCATGAAGATAATTTGTGCGTCCTTACGTTGAATGGCGTAGTCCGGAGTCGGAGGAAGTGGAGGGCCCCCAAGAGGAGCGCCGTGAGGCGTGACGAGGGAGAGCCAGGCTTATACATATGTTTGCTATACTGTGTCAATGTCCTTGCTTCTGTTGTGCCTACCTTGGCCACGCGACCCGCTTGGAGCTGTACTGTGGGGGAATTCCGATGGCATGATGATTTTAGCCGCTTGTGGCCCCGTGGTTGCTCTGCACTCAGAGTGTCATGGGACCCCGGGCTGCGAGCAGCGGCCACCCCTCTTCTGTTGACGTCCCCGTCGGCGCCTCTTCCGAGGGGACGCGGTCGGACTGCAGCGGGCGTCGCGCTCTCTCGTGAGCCTCTCGTGCGAGAGCTTTTTCGGAACGAAGGAGGGGTTTCAGGTGTCCTTCCGTCCGTCACATACAGTGCTCACGCGACGACTCGCAACCAGGCAGTTGCTGCACATGTGATGGTGATGGCGAGGTTAGCGGTGACAGCGTTGACGGAACGTGCATGTACGTGTCCGCGTGCGCGGAGGGAGGAGACAACATCGTCAACATTATTGCTTCTTTTTTCGTCTCGCCGTTGATGAGCATGATATTGGAAGGGAGGGGGCAGATGGAATTGGAGAGTGAACACGAGACAGAGAGCGAGGGATAATTGGGTGGGAAGGGGATGAGGCATGCGTGTAATCAGGAAAGGAGGGAGAGCGCGAGTGGAAAGGAATGCGCGAAGGGATGGGATGGACAAGTTGGGGATGGGAGGAAGGGGAAGCAATGATGCAAGGGAGGATCAGAGCGAGCAAACGCTGCAGCGGCAGCGACAGCGAGCGCCAAGTCAGGAGCTGCGGTCCCCACGCGCTTGTCTGCAGTTGTTCGAACGCCGTTGCGCCGACCCCCGGAGGAGGAGGGGGAGGAGGAGGGGGAGGAGGAGGAGGAGCAGGAGGAAGAGGAGGAGGAGGAAGAGGAGGAGGACAGGGAAGATGTCCACTTGTAAGGCCTTTGGGGGTCTCTTGGGGACCTTTCGGGGGCGTCTGAGAGCATCTGTGGGGCCTGTTGGGGACCTTTCGGTTTCTCTTGGGCGCCTGCTGGCAGTCTCGGGGGTCCTCCTGGGGCGGAGGGCTCGACATGCCAACTCGAGTTACCTCTCTTGGGCCCTGTAGGGGTCCTCTTGTGCCGTCTTGGACGCCTCTTGGGCCGTCTTGGGGCCCACTTTGGTCGTCTTGTAGGCTTTTTGGGTCGCTTTGGAATGGTCTTACGGGTCTCTTGAGCCATGTGGACAGCTGTTAAGACCAACAAAGCGAAGCTGCAGAGCGTACGCACGTTCCCGGAGATTGGGCCGACGTGTGTCTCGTCTTCGAAGCCTCCTGGGCCGTCTTGAGGCCATCATGCGCGTGTGTTTCCGCACTCCTCGGCGTGCTGGAGCCCAGCTCGAGCAAGCTCGGATGGCATCTTTTGCACTTTGGAGGCCGCGGAATGTATACTTGGAGGCTCCCGAGGCCCTGGGTGTGCGTTGAGGTGGCACTGCCCCCACCCAGCCCCCATCTAAAGAGACTTTCGATCCCAAGGAAGGCAGGGGAAACGGGGGAGGGGACAGCCAATCATCTCACGCGCCTTTGCACTCGGGGTAGGCGGGGGTCAGAGGATTTGTCGTCGGGCTTTCTAGCAGCATGTTCTCTGCATGTTTGCGCACTTCTGCATCGGCTCGATTTTGAGAGGACGTCTCAAGCGACACGGCATCTTTCCCGAGAGTCGGGTTCGAAAAGGGCTCGATTTGGGGAGGATGTCTCAGGCGAAACGGCCGCTCTCTGAGAAGCGGGCTCGAAAAAAGTCCCAATTGGCGGAGGATATCTCAGGCGAAACGGCCATTCTGTCAGAGTCGGGCCGAAAATCTTTCAAATTATCTTTGAAGTTGTTGTGTTCAAAGGTTGAAATTCTATATGCTTTTGGACCTGTCTTTCGAAACCAGGCTATTTCAGCCGATCCTTAATTCACCCAGAATTTGAATTCATCCGATCCTTAATTCACCCACGCCTAACTCACCCAGTGCCTAACTCACCCGATGTTTGACTCACCTGGCGCCTACCTCACCCGGTGCCTACCTCACCCAATGCTTAACTCACCCCGTGCTTTGATTCACCTCGTGCCTTAATTCATCCGGCGCCTAACTCACCGGGTGCTTTATTCACTTGGCCTTAATTCACCCGGTGCTTTACTCACCGGGTGCTTAACTCACCCTGTCGCGTCGCTAACTCACCCTGTGCCCAACTCACCCTGCCCCTAACTCACTGGGTGCCTAATTCACCCGGTGCTTCATTCTCCCAGTGTCTAATTCACCCATTTCTTAATTCACCCCGTCGCTAATTCACCTGGTGAATAACTCACCCGGCCGCTAACACATCTGGTGCCCAACTCACCCGATTCCGAACTCACCGATTCATCCGATCGCTAACTCACCCGGTCGCTAATTCACCCGGTCGCTAACTCACCAGGTGACTAGCTCATCCGGTGCTTCATTCACCAGATGCCTCCTTCAGCCGGTGCTTCACTCACTGGGTACCTCCTTCAGCAGGCAATCGTGATCACAAGATCGCCATCATTGTTTCATGTTGCGAGGCAATGGCCCGCGACCCAGTGACCGAATGCTGTCAACGACGAATGACGTGCATCAGAAGAGAATGCCGTAGCACCCCGCAGTTGCGGATAAGAGTGAGGGGGCGGCAAGGACGTCGTCAGTCTGCGAGGCTCTGAAGAAGCCCGCCGCAGGCGCCTAAATATGCAGTGAGCCCGCCGCAGGCGCCGATTTTTTCGCTGAAGCAATGTAGGTGGATCGCGGGATGGGTCGCGGGTGGGTCGCGGGCCAGGTCGCGTATGGGTCGCGGGTAGGTCGCGTATGGGTCGCGGGTGGGTCCCGGGTGGGTCGCGGGGTGGTTCGCGGGGTGGGTCGCGGGTGGGTCGCGGGGTGGGTCGCGGGGTGCGTCGCGGGTGGGTCGCGGGGTGGGTCGCGGAGTGGTCGCGGGGTGGGTCGTGGGCGGATCACGGGGTGGGTCGCGGGGTGGGCCGCGGGGTGGTCGCGGGGTGGGTCGCGGGGTGGGTCGCGGGGTGGGTCGCGGGGTGGGTCGCGGGTGGGTCGTGGGCGGGTCGCGGGGGGGACGACAACAACAACAACAACAACAACAACAACAACAGCAGCAGCAGCAACAACAACAACAACAACCATTTTAAGGCTGTACGCTCTTACTTGCCCGCTCTTACTTACCCTACACCCTCGATACCCGCCCTCTTCGTCTTCGATCGCACCCCTTTCGGGGGGATTATTTTTCTTGGCTGGGGCTGGCGGGCTTAGACGTACGGGCAAACCGGAACGGGCGGACAATCCTTCGGGGGCGTACATCTCTCTGCCCGCCATTGGAATTGGCGCGGGCCCTGCAAGAGGAGGAGGGGAAGAACGAGGGAGAGTGGGAGGAAGGGGAGGGGGAAGGACGAAGGAAGAGGGAAGATACCACGTTGTGAAGGCGTCCTTGGCGCGTGCGTGGTTCCTGAGCGCCGAAACGCAATTCCAGAATAATTTGTGAGGACGTCGCACGCGAGAGCGCAGTCCTGAGTACATTGTGAGGAAATCTCAGGCGGAAGCGGGGGCCCTGACTAAGTGCGAGGAAGTCTCAAGCGGGAGCGCCGTTCCTGAGCAAATTGCACGGAAGTCTCAGGCGGGAGCGGGGGTCTTGATTACATTGCGAGGAAGTCTCAGACGGGAGCGCCTTTCCTGAGTAAATTGCGCGGAAGTCTCAGGCGGGAGCGGGGGTCCTGAGTAAAGATCGAGGAAGTCTCAGGCGGGAGCCGTTGTTGTTCTAGCCCGGGGGGCAGGGGCACAGTTTGAGCAGGAAGATTTTCTTTTAGAAAAAACAAGGTGCGAGCCCCGGGGGTGGCACTTCAATCGAAAAAAATCAATGTGCACCGGTGGGGGGGGATCAACAATAATCATTCTTCAAGAATGAGAGTTCAACAACAACAACAACATCAACAACAAGCATAATCCCCACCACGGATCCCCATGTCAGCCACGCACCCAGGGACAATGAATGACCGCTCGGCCCCCTCACTCAGATGTATCCTGCGATCTGTGGCAGAACCAGAGCAACACGCTATCCAAAAGCTCCCGACCGTGAGCCCGTCCTCTTCCTCTCTGTGTATGTTTCGTCCAGTTCGGTACGGCTCGGGAACCAAGCATAACATACACATAACTGTCGGAGGTCCGCGCGGGTTTCTTGGAACTGTGCTGGAGTCCTTCCCTGGCGGCGCCTCCTGCGCCGCCCCTGGCGAGGCGGAGGATTCGCAGGAGCAGGGCCAGGGCAAGTATGAACAGAACAAATATCAGGGACAGGAGTAGGAGTAGGAGGAGACGGAGAAAGAGGAAGCATCGGAGGAGACGGGGGTGGAAACTTGTACTTGGCGAGGACTCAAAGTGAATGTGGAGGAGGAGGAGGAGGAGGAGGAGGAGGAGGAGGGGGCAGAGAAGGATGCGAAGGTGAAGGTGGTAAGGAGGATGAGGTTGAAGAGGAGGACGAGGACGAGGACGAGGACGAGGACGAGGGGAGGAGGAGCAGCAAAAGAAGCAAGAGGAGTGACAGGCGTCTACGTGGGGCATTGTCATCGGCGACACTTCCCTTTTCTGCCGGGCTGCACGGCGGGGCGGGCGGGCAGAACCGATGCACCAGCCACATCCGTGGTTCTTCCACTTTCTTCCATTCCCCTGTCGTCCCTCTCCTTCCCTCCTCGTTCAAGAGAGGGATCGAGGATCGATGTGCTTGGACGTGTTTTGTTGTTCCAAGTTTTACTTCCCCACATCCTGAGTTGGTTTCCTGTTTTCTCTGGACATCCCGCGCAGTCATCTCACCCACACCCTCCCTTCACCATCACAGATCACACTCATCACGATTACTATAACCATCATAATCACTATCGTCATCACGCCACCATCGTCATCATCACTGTCACAGTTTCACTCATCATCATCATCATCAGCAGCATCAGCATCATCATCATCATCAGCACCAGTAAAAGCATAAGCATAATCATAATCAGAAGCATAATCATCATCATTTGTACGCGATCACTCGCTCAAAACTCACTGGCTCAGTCACTCATCACTACCACCCGCCACTCATCATATAACCGCTTCTGAGTTTCTGATCGCCGCAATGGCGTGCGCCGCAGCCACTGCGGTTCAATTTTAATTAGAGTGGCTCCATACAATATCTCGCTCACGCCTTCGGTGAAGTGGCGCGATACGGAGCTCAGGCCTTGGGAGCCTCCGTGGTGGCGAGGGCGGCCGCGCCGAGCTGCGGGGCTTGCGCGCCCCAGCTCACCTGCCCCGCCATCCCGCGTGCGTCTGCGCGGGCGCGGGCGGCCAGGTGCCCGAACCGTCGTGCGGCGGCCTGGTGCTGGCCTACGTCGCAGCGGCGCTGGCGACGGGGTCCGTGCGCGGGCTGCTCGGAGGGCTGCTGCTCGCGCAGCGCCTGGCATCGCCTCCCGCGCCGTCCGAGAAGCCCGATTTCGAGGAGGAGGCAAGGGCCCAGGCGAGGGCCATTCGTGATCGCAAGACCGCTGGGTTCTGAAGATGGCCCACCCAACGCAGTGGAGTTGAATCAGATATCGTGTGGGCGGAGCTGCCGTCTGGCACGAGGGGCTGATCGTTTTCCGTGGGTCGGAACTTGTCCCAGGCATCGTCGCTGTCGCCAGGCACGTCGCACTCCGTCATCACGCCTGACGGGGACAGGTACGACGAGACGGCGGTACCCGACGTGGACGTGGCGGGCATCACCACGCTGTCGGGCCAGGGCGAGCGTCCTCGGTGGTTGCGCGTGCACGGCTTCAGGGCGCTGCCGACTGCGGCGGACGTGTGGGCTGGCATCGCGGAGGCGTCGGCGCTCTACGGGCTGCCGAGGCCGCCATCGCCCGCCAGCATGCTTGTCGCCATCGGTAACGCGGGAGGTCTCCCCGCTGGGCCTGTGCTGCTGCCCGACCGGCGTTTGCGGCCCTTGGTCTGCTTGGAGCGCTTGCCGCCCCCGCCCTTGGATTGCCCGCAGCGGCCGCTGGCGCGCCAGGGTTGGTCGCTGGCCTTGCACCCGCGGGTGTTGGAGGCGCGTTCGCCCTCCTCGGCCTGGTGGCGGCGCTTGGCGGCGCCGCGCCCGTTGCCGCACCCGCGGTCGGCCTGCCAGCGCTGCCCGCCCCGCCGCTGCCAGCTGCAGCGGCGCCTGCCGCCCGTGCCTGCAGCTGCGCCTGCCGCTGCGGCGCCCGCGGCGCCGCCCCCCGTGGCGACCGCCGCTGCTGCAGGCGCGCTGGCGCCTGCCGCTGGGGCCGCTGCCGGGGTGCCTGCGGCGAGCGCCGACCTCAGGTTCAACCCGATCACGATCAACGTCATGCTCCTCCTCCTCCTCCTCCTCCTCCTCCTCCTCCTCCTCCTCCTCCTCCCTCCCTCCCTCCCTCCCTCCCTCCCTCCCTCCCTCCCTCCCTCCCTGGACGATTTATCCATGACGGGACCATGGATAAATCGTCCAGGCGATTTACAAAAATGGGTGATCGCTGGAGGGAGTTCCGCGATGGCACGAAACTCCACGCGAGGACCGACAGGAAGCATTGGCCAGCGCGGGGGCCACGCACGGCGGCGAGGGCACGCGCCTACATACAGCGGCAGGCTGGCTCCCCGTCGGCGCGGTGCACCAAGTGGACGACCGAGTGGCGGATGTCGGAGGACGACCCTGTCATTGGCGAGCACGCGTTCCTCTGTCGCATCCTGGAGCTGGCGGCGTGCCGCGACCAGGCGAACGTCGGCGAGCTAGCGCACCTGGAGATGACAGCGAGGCGCCTCCAGCTTTTTTGGAGGAGAAGATCGTTGAGCTCGCCTTTCGCCCGAAAGGCAGCGACAAGTAGGATAAGGACGAGGCCCAGGTGCTCGACGGCAGGGTGGATAACGACCTGTTCTCGGTCGCGCTGGAGAGCAGAGGCAACGCGCGTCTGCCCGCTGCTGATCACCTGGCTCGCGGATGAGTCGAAGTCCGAGGCCGCGGTGGCCAAGGGGCGCAGGAAAGTCGGCGAGGAGCGGGCGTTGCGCTGGTAGCCCTGCGCGCGCCTCAACCCCGCGGCAGGCCCCTCTCGCGAGGCTGCAGGGCCTGCGCGGGCTTGGAGCTGCCCAGCTTCGCGATGGGGTTCGACCACCTCGGGCGCCAGCGCAACATCATTTCATTCCCTCGGCTTGCAGTTGATGGTCGGCGAGAGGTCTGTGTTCCTCGGCGGTCTCGTCAGCGTTGTGATCGCGGGGCGGCTTGGAGGCGCTGGGCCAGCGAGTGCGAAGACAGCCCCGACGACTTGAATGGCCAGCTTTGTGATCCTCGCGTGGCGTCGGCGCCCGATGGAGCAGACAACCTGCCTCAGAAGTTTGCCCTCGTGCATATTGCCGAGGCATGTCAAGCGGCTGCCGACCAGCGCCTCGTGGGCTAACCTGGAGATCAGCTCCGACGTCATCGGCCGGGCCGCATGGCATCGGCCGACATCCAGTGCGCCTTCTACCACGCGGGTCTTCTTGAAGATTTAGTTCGGGCCTTCGCCCTGCCATGCATCGCGAATCGGGTGATTCGTGCAGATAGCCTCCCACTGGATATCGATGTCGTTCCCGAGATTGCGCGATGCCGATAAGATGGAATTGGGCGTTGCACTTCTGTCAGGACGCTCTCGCCAGCATCATTTCCCGCGGTGCAGGCGCCGACGAGAATCGCTTCATCGCTGACGGGGCGCCGCCCTTCAAGCTGCAGTCCCCGTCGGATTGGGCCGCGGCGGCCCGCGTCGACAACTTCTGTGCGATCGCAGGCTCGCTGCAGTCATTCCCAGGGGCTATCGCTCGCCACCGCTTGCCTGCGCATGAGGCGCGGGGCGATCGCGCCTCTATGATCTTCACTGGTCTCGAGTTCGATGGAGCAAGAAGAACCATGCGAGCGCCGTGTTCTCGTCTTTCCAGGTTGCGCTTCGGCATTCGATCTGCGCTTCGCCATGGCAGGCGTTATCCCCATGCTCTTTCTACGATTGTTGGCCATATCACATGGGCGATGCTCGGTGGAAGAGAAACCTTATCAATGACGTCTGCGACTTTCGCTTGTGCTCGTGGGGGGTCTTCGGAGCCGACGAGGTTGTGGGAAAGGGGTCCTTAGGGAGCTCCGCTGGGTCCAGTCTACGCTGCCTCTGTGGGCCTCGTCTTGGCGGCTCCTATGGACTGGCGACGTCGCGGCGTCGGACTCTTCGGGCTACGGCAGCGAGGACTGTCGTCGTCGCCTTCTTCCACGCGTCGTCGCAGTGATTGGGCGTCTCGCCGAGAAGGCGAGGCGCAAGTTCACCGACGTTTTCCCGGCCCGTCGGCATGCTCTAGGGGAGCCCCTTCAGGGGTCCGAAGGTCATGATGATGTTCTCGTTCAGGGCCCCGTTCTTAGATGTGGGATCTTGCAGATACTGAGGGACGCGGCGATATTGGAGGCCTCGCTGGCGTCGCCGACTTCGCGAGCTCGCTGGACATCAACGCGGAGATCCACAGTTTCTCAGCGGTGCCCGAAGAGTCCCTCGACGGCGCGTCTTGGATGGTGGCGCACTCTGCGAAGGGTTTACATGCAAGGGGGGAGCTTCTTGGAGTCTGATGGGGATGCCATGGCGTTCGCGCTTCGCCACCTGCTCAGGACAGGGTCCTTCAGGGTCATCGTCTCCTCCTCCTTGTGGACAATTTGGCTCCAGCTCCCAGTGCTGGCACGGGCCGCGGGCTCTCGGCCAAACTCGCCAGGCCCTTGCGGCGCGCCCCCTCGCTGCTGCTAGCCACGGGCTGCCGCGCCTATGCGAGGTGGATCCCGTCGGAGCTGAACCCGTCGGGTGCCCCCTCGCGCTCGCAGTGGCTCAGACCGCCAGCCAGGCGTCGTCTGACACGGGCCTGGCGGTGCGCGGCCCGAAGTGGAAGCCTCCGCGCGCCCTTGCCCTGGCTCGGCAGAGGCTGCCCCCCCGGGCGCCGCTGACGGCGCCGTGCGCAGGCCGCCCGAGCTCCCTGGAGGCGGCAGCGCTGACGGACGCCACGGCGATGTGCTGCGCGGCCCAGGCTCGCAGGCTCGCGAGCTGGTGCCAGCGGTGCGGTCTGTCGTGGAGCACGCACCATGAGTTAGACGTGATCTAGACGGCCTTCCTGGCGCAACTGGCTTTAGACGGCTTCGACACCACGACGGGCCGCATGACCGTGGCGGCGGTTCGCCACCTGCCGCCGGCGTCGGGGCCGCCGCGGACGGCGCCGCCGAGGGCCTGCAAGGTGCTGGATGGTTGGGGGAAGCTGAAGCCGCCGTGCATGCGGCTGCCGATCCCGCGGCCTGCGGCGATGGCGATCGTCGGCGCGATGCTGTCGATGGGCCAGATCCTCTCCTTCGCGGGGTACACGCGGCCGTCGGAGGCCTTCCGTCTGCGGGGCGCCTCGCTCGCGCCGCCGAACCCCCTGGCGGGCGCCCGCTACGGGGGGCGGGGTTGGTGCCCAACCCAAGCGAGGCCGGCCGCCCTGGGAAGACGGGCATCACGGACGAGAGCGTCGCGCTGGACCAGCCCGCGCGGCGGTCGTTGTGGGCAGCGCTGAAGGCGGCTCGCCCAGGCAGCGCGCGCCTGCTGCGCTTCGAG